CCCCAAAACCCCAAAACCCCAAAACCCCTTTTTGTAAAACTATTTTCAAAATATAATTCTCTACTGCAATAAAATTATCAAACATGCACAAAAGGTTTGATGAAAATATCGATATGCAGATTAGTAACTCTCTGCCTGATAGAAAGATCCTATTTCTCCAAAATGGAGCAGGAAAAAGTTTTTCAAAAAGGACCTCTTCAGTTATCGAAGATATTGAAGATTGTACTAATGAAGTTAATGAACCCGAAGCTGATGACACTAAAAGAAATTACATAATTGGTTTCAGCATAATGTTAACTGCAGTTCTTACTCTGACCCTGAAGCACAGTCTAATAAAACTGATGTCATTCCACAGTCCGTACCTCTCAGTATATGACATCATCTTGTTCAGAGGATGTATCATGGTTATTTTTATGACAGGAATTAAAGTCTGAATCACTGGTAACTTCTTCTTCTCGCTCTGAGATAAATCACATAAGCAGATTCCAAGTTTATCGAGAGGAGCTCTGTTCTTTATATTCTTGAGATGAGCTCTAGGGGTGATAAATTATTCTTCAGAGAGTTATACTGTGGCCAGGCTTCCTCTATCAAAATCTACGATGATGTTTAGTTGTAGTGCTATTACATGTGCAATCTTGGCATGGGTCTTTTTAAGAGAACGGCTGGGTCTGACCTACATCCTTTGTCTGATTGGCTGAACTGTGGGAGTGTACTTCTTGTCTCTTGGAAAAGAAGATTCTCACAAGGAAGGAGGTGTTTCAGCATATTTAGCAGCTGTAATAGCTATCTGGGCAAATGGAGCTTCTGTTGTAGCTTCACGTCAGCTTAATCTGTACAAGGTTCATTTTTAGCACATTTGGAGTGTCTTTTGGTATTCACTTTGTAGTTATAATGGTAGTGTGCTCTCTACTATTTGATGACGTATTTCACTTCGAGATGTACACAAATTACGATATTTTCATGCTAACGAGTAAGTAATAAATAACTACTATAGTCCATGGAATTACGGGGACTGCCTTCATGATTATGTACTACGTAGCAGCTCAGTACATGCAAGCCACTTACGTAGGCCCCTTGAAGAACCTTGAGATAATCTTCACGATCTTCATCGACATCTTCCTATTCAACTACTCATTCACTGGGGAAGACATCATCGGAATGTCAATCCTTGCCATCTGTATTGCAATATTACTAATCTTAAAATTTATTTAGATAAATTCTTATTCCTTCCATAGTTCAACCCCTCAGAACATTCTTGGGGTTTTGGGGTTTTGGGGTTTTGGGGTTTTGGGGTTTTGGGGTTTTGGGGTTTTGGGG